GTGAACCAAATCTAGAAGGATGAGTTATATTCCAGTTTCCTTTTTTTTCCAGAATGAAAGTAAGCAAGGCTAAAAAATTACCTTAATCTGCCAGGATCTGAGGGCTTCACTTCCTCCTGCCAATTCCATAAGTGCTTGTCTTTAAGTAAACGAAATGGTTATGTGATACAGCACTGGAACATGTTGCCCAGAGACATTGTGGAGTCTCCTGCTATGGAGATATTCAAGACCTGTTCAGAGGCTTACCTGTGTGACCTATTGTGGGGTACTGGCTTTAGCAGAGAGGTTGGACTCGATGATCTCATAAGGTCCCTTCCAACACCTGTAATTCTGTGATTCTGTGACGAATTAGGATCTGGTCATTCATTAATCTTAATGCAGGGAAACACAGACAGAAAGAGATACTTCAGTGTGAGTGTTAATGTCAAAACAATGGCCATTTTAAAATTCTAGAGAAATTCCATAATCTTGACTGGAAGTAAGAAAAGAAAAAAAAAAGAAATAAAAAATATCTAGTACTCTGTTATAAATTAGGGGATATAATGAGAGAAAGTGTGAAAAGTGGCTCATTTTAATTACAGAAAGTAATTAAACAGAAAGTGATATAACAAAGATTTAATTTACTTGTAGATTATCCAATTTGCTTTTCATTTTTGAATATTTCATTAATTCTTAGAGATCACTTTTGTAATTTGTAGAAAGATATTCTTGATAGAAAGAATACACTGTTATTTAATTATAAAACTCAAAACAGACATTATTATTAGAAACAAAACCAGTATTTCCATAATTGTGACCATATATCGGAATTATTAGATTGAAATTCACTTACATTATCTGTAAGTTAAGTTATTTTTCCATGCATAAATGAAATACTTAATATATGTGTTTGTAGTGCAGTATCCCGCAGGATAAACAAATGGACACAGAGCTACAATGTTCTAAAGAAACATTTCCAATAAATAAAGAGTAAGCATTCAAAACTGAAGTGAGAATATTTTTAGATGAGAGTATTTTCAAAGGCTTCCACCCCTGCCGTGGGTACGGCTCGTGGGACGGTGCTTCCCAGCAGATAGAGGGATGTCTCTCCTGCCCGTGCTGAGCCCGTGGTTACTCTATGTCTCCTACATAGTGGCACAGAAAGGTTGGCTGTGCCACCAGCTATGTTAGGGGCTGTCAGGTTTTAGCTTATTGAGTAGGAATTTTAGACAGTGGGGTACTCTCCATTTGCCCTAAATGTTCTGAAATATAATAAATTAATTGCTCTGTCAATTCAGTACAAGGTGCTGTACTTTTTTTAAGGGCACATGTTGAAGCTTTGGTCTCTTGCATCAAGCTTCATTAAAGGGAATATGTCTGGAAAGGACATGGATTATCCTCATTTTTTCATGATCATTTCAACTCCTCACATACATGGCCACAAATCAGCCCTGCTGCAGATACTGTAAATTTTTGCTTGTGTGTTTCAAATTTCTCAGATGTTCCATTTACTAAGCTTCCTTTCATTTTATTGTATTACCTCATTTCAGATTATAGTGAACGCTTTATTTTCACCCCTTCTCTGCTCTTCAGTCCTCTCATATGCTAGAGATATATTTTGATAATCAGAGTTCTACTTTTCATCCTGATGGAGGATGGAAACATCCCTCCTGTTGCCACATGCTTGGAGGCAACTAGAGGAAACATGTGCCATACACCATGCACAACCTCTCAGCTGAAAGCCATCCCAACAGTTTGGAGCAAGTTCCTGTTGTCACACTGCATGGCCATGACAGCTCAAAGGCTGAAATAAATCTACTTACAGACATTCACAAGAGCAGTCATGCGCAAACATGAAATACTGATTTCTCTAAGCTGGCTGTCAACAATAAGTAATTTCAAAGAATACTCTACCCTGAGTAGAGTATCCTGATGTGGATGATTTCATATCTCATAGCATTGGGAATGCTTGATTCTTTATTAGATGTTAAACATTTGCTGATTAACCACAAGGTCCTTTGCATTTATTTTTAAGTTCATGAGTAGTTCAGTTTGGATTTTCATGCTTCCCAGGGTCTGTGCATTTTCCTCAAACCTATTCATATGTGAGACATATGCTAGATACACACTGCGTCCCAAAAGGGACCCATCTTCCCATAATGAATGCCAGCACTGAAAACTTGGGAATGAGGCAGCTGCACAGTTAGTTTCAGATCTCTCTAGACTGTGAAGTGAGGCCTCAGTTTTATTTTCCCACCGAAAAAATGCTCAGATTGTAAAGTAATTATTATGAACAAATACAACGAGGTCACTGTAGCTCTTTCTGACTAGGTTGTTTGAAATCTGCATTTTTAGGAAAGGTTAAAATGTCAAGAAGAGGGAAGAGTGTCAAAGAAAATGTCAAGAAGAGGCAAACAGTCCTGTATTTGCCTCCTTAAAGATTTAATCTTGTAGGCATTATCATTTGCCACTAGATTTCCAGATCTGATTTTTTTTGGTTTTTATATCCCATTGTGGCCTTAGCTGGATATTTCTTCACTTAACCCCAGGAATGGAATAGGCATGATCCACATGCGGAAGGCTAAACTGCTCAGAGTCCAAGTAGAAAATCTTCAAATGTAGAAAAGTGAGAACACAGAGCTTTGCTAACCCTGCTGCGAAAAGCAACGTGTTTTCTTGTTGGCTGCACTGAATTACAATTGTTTGAATTATATTTGGTGGGGGTGGGAAGGCATTGCTGAAAAGAGAAAGGAGAACTCAGCTCTGCTGGTTCCTTGACAGGATGAGGTACTTTGTGTCAGGAAGGATTTTGATTATATGTGTTAAAATGTCACTACAGGTGATGTTCAGAGCTCAGAACAAAGCTCTGGTAAAGGCAGAGGACGGAGCTTCCCCCAGAGTTAGGGATGCTGCATGACAGATAGCTGTTCTGGCCAAAGCAATGCCCCAGGCCACGTGCTCAGGGTATGTGCGAGAGTAAAATAAATGAAGAATGGACAAATTGTACTCCTGCTTTATGAGGACAGGCTGAATGCCTGCTCTGCGGACAAGGAACAGAGGTGAAAAGGGTTGGCAGTAGATGTGCTCTGTGTTCCAAATGGAGAAAAGCCTAATTGTTACAGTGGGCCTACACATCAAACAAAGCTAACACTGCAAAATGATGTCCTGAGCCAAAATACAAAGCAGGAGCTCTGTGTACATGCAGTTTCGTGTGCACACAGGTTTGCTAAGAATCTCACTGAATGCAAATTCTCCAAAGAGATACCGAAATTGTTATCTGAGAAAATTTTATTCATGATTGTTAGGTAGCTTCTATTACTATTAAGTACTCCACCAGAGGTCAATATACTACCATTTAGCTGCTGGCAGTTTAGATATTCAGCATGGCTGACGTCGGAAGTTTATTCTTATGTAATATACAGCAGCACTATACAGAAACCTTGGCAAAAAAGGACCCACCAGGCCTGGCAATGACTGAGCATGAGATGCCTCGCCACAGACTGCCAGGATTCACAGCTCCCAGCTGTCAGCAGGAAGCACTGGTAACGCTGGAGTTCCCTCCTCCTCTGGAGCTCACAGCCCAGTGCACATCTTCAGCTTTCATGTATCGCCGTCAGAAGTGGAGCTCAACTTGGGTGACTGTAAGTGATCACCGCACTTCAGGTTGTGCTGGGCAGGACCTGGGCAACTAGTTTGTCTCTAGCAGAAGTATGTACAGCTGGGTAGGAGCTGAAATTTATGCACCAGGCCTGGATTCCTTTGTTCTGATTTCAACTTCATGCCTGGGTTCCTCCTCTACCATGGACATCCATGAATTTCATGCCAGCCGAAGTGCCTCTGGCTCCACCAAGTGCAAAGAAAGCCTACATGCTAAATTCACTGAACTATGGGAAATCTCTCTATGGCTCCCTGCACCTTCTCCTCCTCTAAGGCACCCAAGGCCTTGCTGTATAAAGCTGTCACTTTGTAGCAAAGCAGAATGATATTGGAGAATAGCTCCAGGCTATTGGGGCACCAGCACTCAATCAAGGTGTGAAAGATGGAAACTGCTCCAGCAGAGGCTTGACCTAGTGGGTGGTAACTCTGCCTATGGCAGGACCTTGGAGCTAGACGATCTCGAAGGTTCCTTCCAATCCAAGCAATTCTATGATTCTGTGAATTTCAGCTTGCCAACTCTTACCATCATCTGCCAAACACAAGGAGCGAGCAGGGCAAATAGCTGCATGCAAACTAGGCCGGCAAACCACATGGGAAACTGGCTCGAGTGCAGGCAGCACCCCTAGAACTGCATTATTTTATCCTGCTCACTGGCACAATTGCAGGCTCCTTGAGAGGCTTTGGTGGGTTAATAACAGGCAGAGACTGCATGCAGGCAGGCTGTGAAGGCTGCACTGTGAATCTGTTTCCAGTACGGACACTTCACACACCAGCCGCCTGCAGGCAGTGACTGCCTTCTTCGTTTGTAATCAACAAAACGTTCACACTTTACACATAAAATGGGTTATTTTTCTACTGTTATGGTGTAGGAAAAAAAAAGTGGGAATTAAGCCTCAGAACTGCAGTAATGAATTTCTGTAATTATAACCATTGTCACTCCACATGTAGCAAATGTCCTTCTTGTAGCTAGTTACCAGGTCTGAAGATGACCCCTTGTGTACCCAAAGTCTGCAATCAATCTCGTGGTCCACATTTGATTTACTAGTGAGCAGCTTTTAATTTCAATGAAGCGTAATTTACAAACGTAGTCAGATTAAAATAATTCTAAATCAGACCAGAAGCATTTTCTACCAACATCATAAATCTAATTGCTTACCTGTACCTGATTTGCAGCTATGCTGCTCTGAAAACAGCCTAATTAATAAGAATGATATAATCTAAGTAACAACATTGGCCCATGTAACCCTCAATTGTTTTTTAAATACAGTAGAGAAGAACTAGCATCATGACAGAGAAACTTAATCTTGCAAACCACAACAGAGAATACTATTTAAAAAAGGAGTCACTACTAGTCATACCTAGGCTTTGTATTGATAGCGGTCTTTAATAGTTGTAGAACAAGGAACAGACAGAATAGGGAAAGATAGAACACTTTGTACCAATCTAGACACATACAGGAATTAAAATATCCCAAAGCGTGAAAATTTCATTGCAAAATTTCAGCTGTACTCATGTGATGAATGCAAAATTTGAAACTCTGCAATGGCTCTCACGAAAGAGAGGAAAGCCACCTGTTTATTTAGTTTATTTTCCAAAATGTATCCCCTAATAGAAACACTCATTAGATGGAGTAAAACTTGCAACATTACTTGCTTCACTCAGGGTGTTATCTCAGTAAATAGCCGCTTCCCACATCCCCAAAATCCATAAAACAAATGCACAGTATCGATAAGACTAAGACTTAAGTAGGTGGAGAGCTGTTCTCTGGCAGGAAAGTACCAGTTTCAAAGGAAATGAAGTGATGTGCTTGGATACTGAAGGGCCCTAACGTGACCACAAGAACGAAAGATGGATTGTTCTCTCACACTGCATTCCCCCAGATTGACTCCCATTTAACTGGTGCTCTGCACAGACTGCTCTCCCAGCCAGGTTTTACAGGAAGTGAAATCTGAGACAAAAAAGAGAACTTCTGTTTGGACTGTCAGTTCAATGTACAATTTCCCTTTGTGAGGACAGCCTCCTTCAGAAGCCATACATACATACAAAATGAAGGATTAAGCACTTACTACTCTGCTCAGTTCCATGACATGCTTCCAAGGGAAGTTACCAGCCTCCACAACTACAGAGAACTATCCTCAGCTGCCAAGAGCTCTGTTAGCAAACATTAGAAGATTAAAACTCTTGTCAGGAATACTCTAGAAGAGACTTAAAGCAATCTTTTGAATTAACCACTAACATACATGTAATCAGCTAACATTTTAAAGACAAAACTTTAGTAATAGGTTACTAGTTGCTGTATTACGTTGCTGATGATCAAGCTGTATTACTTTCTGCAGAGCTTGCAGTGGTGGACCATCACACTGAAAATAAGTTCTTACGGATATGACAGCTGTCTTTCATGGGCACTTAACATAAGCACATTTAGAGCTCATGTTGCTTCCTGCAGACATTTGTTTCCACAAAGCATTTCAGTGATGTGTATCGATTACATAAGACTGTTTTCCCCGCATCTCTTCTTCTAGCAATAGCAGAAGTCTAGCAAAATAGCAATCACTGCCTATCACTCTTGGTGTTTGATATAACTTGTTTTGCACTTTGTTTTCAGTTTTCTTTTCTACTTTGTGATTAGCCTTGTAGCTAAAATATCACAGCCGTCATGTATTCTTATCAGATGATCTTGATACAAAATGTTTTGTTATGGGTTCTTCTGTACCATTTACTCTTTTGATGCCTCAATTTCCTCTTCCAAGGTTATTCTGGTCTAAGAATTTCCCAATAAGTTTAAAGGAAGATTTTCATCATTATACTCTTCAAGATGGGCACAGCATCAGGGCCTCTGTACCCTGGTGTCATGGTTATTTGTTTTTTTTTGTTTTTGTTTGGTAAAGCTCTTCTAAGCATCTCCCAGTCACTACAAAACGAAGTGTGTCAGTGAGGTCCTGAAGAGATGGTTCCTACTGCTAGTTTCCCCACACACAGCATCTTCAATATACTGGCCTGGTTTGCAGCTGCTAGTCACAGACTTCACTACGCAGCTTTAGCAGAGGGGAAACAAGCATCTCAAGATAATACAGCAATGGTACTCAGCATGCTCCTACATAACTAGCAATGGTGAGGAAACAAATCAGGGCTTCACTTACAGATTGACTGCCCCGTGGGTAACCCATATCCCCAGTTTCCCTGCACCCCAGCAGGGGTCACTAACACCACACTACAGACAGTCCTCAGCAAGGTAGGCAACTTTATTCTTCTATCATAATAATTTAAAATATTTACACACTGCACAGCCACTCTTTTACACTAACATATACTTACTGGTATATTCATGAACCACATCTAAAAGTTTTTGAAAAGACTGACACATTTTAGGGTTTCCAAGCATGAAAATAAAATCTGCAGCCTTCTAAAAGACAGCCATTTGGAGCGTGTGTGAAAAAACCACTGTTCCCTGTAAGCTTAAGTTTTCTCCAGAGACCATTCACTAGCTTCAAAATATCCACATTTGGCATCAGCTAAAGCTCTCTTGGCAATGGCAGACTTCAAGAATGAACATGTGCAAATAACATTTTCTCAAGAAATCCCACAGCAGGAACAAGAAAACGGAAAACTCTTCAGGGGAAGTACTACATTTCTGAAATGCTATTTACCTGAAAGGATCACAATTTAATGCATGTATACATATCTGTTGTATATGTACATACACGCAGGATCCAGGGTCAGTAGGATTTAACCAGTATACAAGGTCTGCCCATCTATTTTGTGCATCACCGCAGCAATGCTAGGCTTGTCCACTGATTTTCAGCCACACGACCCTTAAATTCAGAGCAGTGATAAATAAGTTTAGCTACACAAAACAGGGAGAACCCTGTCATCGTCAGGAGGAACCTGGGAAAAACCACATAATCAGACAGAGCATTAATTCCTAGATCTAATTCACTTCAAACAGCACCATCATCTAAGTTTGACAGAACAAGTTGCCAACAAATCTAGATCAGAATTTTTTTTTTATTTTTATTTTTTTTACCTTCCGCCTTACCTCAGTTAGTTCTATGTTCATCTATTGCCTGTGGTTACACATCCAATAAGGAATTAATTAGTTTCCTCTGAAGGTTACTGCTGTTCCTAACAGTCAACAGTCTCTAAACTGGCCAGAACAATCTCCATAAAAATTACAAGTTCTCATTCTGTGAATGAACTACATCTCACTCCACCAAGGCAAACAACAGTTTTTTTAAAAAAGGCAAACACTAATTGATCTTGTTCAAAGAGCAGATCTAACTAGCTTCAGATGAACAGCTTCAGGAGTGAAAGAAGCCTGTCCTGGAGTTGGAGTACCACAGCATGTATTAAGGCTTCCGTTTCTTGGAGCAGATTAAGGCACCACATAAAACCAGCCTTTAAGCCACCGCATCATTGTTCCCATAGCTCCTCAGTAACCACAGTCAGAGCTGGGGCCCTCACTCCTCTCCCTTCTTTCTAATATGTTGATGTAATTAACACCTAAGAAAGAGACAGAATTCAGGCATGTGACTTCTCCAGTCCATCTCCCAGAATGAGTTAACCTTTGAGGGCAGAATCAGCTGTGGTAGTAACTTTGAAAAGGAAAGGTTACACTCTTACACAAAGACCATTAGAATCTTTCAGCATTGTCTCTCCAATGGCTCTAAAAAGCTACCAGGAAATCACATACATAATTACAGAACAAGAGAAGTGCTGTCTCTACAGTAAGTGTAGAAAATATCCCCATTAATTAATACAGTAAAAAAATTTGTTACACTAAGCAGTACCTAAGCAGAGTACTGAGTACTGTAGGTACGTGTGTATATGTATAATATATAGTTACTCAGCTACACACAAATATTTAATATATAAAAAATAAAGTGCTTTCTATCAGGTCCCAATGCAAGGACATTATAAAACATTTCACCGACTGTAAAACAAATAGATACAAAGAATACGACATCCAACATACATAGAACAGTTAACACAATATGTACAATCTTGCGGATGTCCCAAGACAAAACATCCCTTCATATACATGGTATATACATATATACTCATCTTTACTCAATATATTATGACAATATATATTTCAAAACTTTGTTAGAGACAAAAGAAAAAAAAAAACTACAAAAATGCAACAAGGATCAAGCACGCAAGTCCAAGACTGACAAAGGATTTGCTACCTTTGCCCACACCACCATCTCTGCTGCTGGGAAAGATATGCCAGCGCTCTTTTCTGGGATGCAGTGCCTCCACATCCTGCAAGGCACTGTGGGCGGCAGCTGTGAAGTTAGCATCACCAGTGGTAAGTAGGTCAAACACACACGAGTAAAAATAGATGTCCTTCACCAGCATCTTCTCATGGCATTTGGTGGTGGCAGTTTCCAGTGTGTATGCTGACCGGGGACGAGCAGCGCCTGCCTGCGGGAGCACCTGTCCTCTCACGGGCAGCGGCAAGTGGCCGCTGTCATCAATACGCTCACTTGAAGGGCAGCCGTTCACACACAGCTGCAGATCTTGACTCTCCTCGTAGGCCATGGCCAACTCTTGAGGCATGCGAATGGCCAGTGTTAAGTAGTGCCCAAGCTGACGTACATACACCGTTGTCCCAATGTATCTGGCATGCATTTCGACGTATTTGCCGCTGACTTTATCCACAATCTGCAGGCTCTTGGTGCTCCCATCACCTCCACCTGTTGTACCATCAACAAAAGCTGCAGGCAAGTCATCACTCACCGCCTGATATACTTTCTGATCTGTACATTGTTGGTATGATTTAAAGATAATAGTTATCTGGAGAAGAGAGAGGGAAGAAAAAAAAAAAAAAAAAAAAGAAAAGTTAGTGATTATGGGGAAAAAAAGGAGTAATTGAAATCCCTTCTTCATTTTGCACCGAGATTATCTGGGACTGACTGCCCATTAGTTCATACCCTGATCCTTTTCCTCATTCATGCCTAAGCAGAAAACAGCTTATACACATGCTTAAAGCAATATTTTCCCAGGTGGCAATTGTTGAAGTTGCTCTTAACTTGGCCTGGAAGCAGGACTATTAGCATGTGGCAATTGCAACAAGATCAGCAAAGGAAAAAGTTGTGTATTTAATTAAGCATCACAACTCCCTCCTGCCTGATGGTTTCTTAACACTTTGGAATGCATCCTACAGTCACAGATGAGTGTGCCAAGTAATTCCCGCACTGCTAACCACTACAGCAGAACTGGATTGAACTGTGTGAAAGCATAGAAAGGACCACAAGAACTTGGCTTCCTTCACACACAATATTCTCATTGCCTCTTTCAGAGTAACTGCATGACCCCTAACAGCGACCTCATTGCTTCCTGGATGCATTGCCAGAATTAGTGCTGCAAGACTGCCATGAAGACAGCAATGTGTTTAAACCAGCCACCAAAACAACAAGTGCAGAGGGGAGATGACTTCAAGAACCGTGAGTCCTGGACCCAGTAGCCTCAGGAGCAGGGGGATGCGACACTTCAGTCTGCTGCTGTCAGGGAACTCTCTGGTGGAGGACCAAAGCAAGACTAAGAGATGCTTCAAGTAATGCCTCTGAAGGATGACTTCCAACCTAGAAGCCAGGAGTAGCAAGCAATTACTTTTTTTTTTTGTTTTTTTAATTTTTTTGAACCTTAACACATATTTAAATATGCCACAAGAGTAGGTTCTCTGTGCTTAGTTGGAGGGAATAATCAGGTTATTTGGCAGAGTAAACTTGGAGTGCCTAATGGCTTTTTCTGAAAATTTGAAGTATAATGAGGAATCACATATATATATTATAAACAGAGATGCTTCCTTCTTTAGTTTCAGGGCAAATAGTGACTTTCTGAAATGGTCAAAAGGCATTCTGTACCAGAAATATGCATGTTTGTCATTACTTTCATCCTGGATGACAAGATTCAGAGTACTAGAAAGCATAGTAGAAGGTATTTTCAAACTAAAATTATAACTTTCCTTAAAAACTATTTTATAACAACCTCACGTTTTGACTTCACTTAGCCTGCATACTTCTGTGCAAAAGGTGTTGTTTCCTGCTATAAACAGCTCTGTTACAGATAGCTTGACTAAACTTCTAACCTCCTTAGCCTTACATCTCCATACCAGTTGTAAAAGACAAAAGTCTACCCCTCCTCCTATTGCAACGACTCTTCCACGGAGTGTGCAGCATCCCCTAACAGTACTGCACTATTTTTTTTATGTTTGGTATCTGCCCCTCTCCCACCCACACAGGCAGCAATCACTATTTTGAGTCCATATGTTCTCACTGGTGCAGTCTGAAATCTTCCAGCAGTTCTTCTGTTTCAATCAGTTATACAGCTAGTTTGACTCAAGCCATCTGCTAAACTAATAAGCGTGCTATGGCTAAGCTAAACTTGAATGCCTATGCCCCAAGCTCAAAAAATGTCCAAGTGCTCCTCTTGCTGTAAAGACTACTTCACAACTTTATGTTTCTTGAAGAAACTCTCTGCCCTTGAGAAGCTATAGCTGGGATTTGTCAAGCAATTAATATTTCTGCACATAATCTACATCCTCATGCAGTAAATTGAGTTTATATTTTATATAACTGTTTCAAAGAAATAGACTTCTAACTCAAGACTGCTCAGATGAAGGACCAATCCTACCTCCTGGGGGACATTTCTGTTGCTCTGCAAGGAAGAAATGATTTATATTTAAGAGAAGTAAAGCTCCATAGCTGCCCAGCAACTGAACAAATCAAGAGTTGAATGAGAGATGAACACTGTGAACAAAAGGTCATGGTTTTACTGAGACACAGAAGTGGCTACTTTGTAGAACGATGAAGCAAAGGACCAGGCAAAAACTATCAGGACGCATCAGACTCACATCTCTGTAACTCCTTCCTCTTGAAGAATGAAACACAAACATTCAGAGATCCAGAGGGACAACTGGTAAGATCAGCAATAACAGCTGCATGCTGAATGAGGAATGACTGCCTAAGTGAATGAAGACCTTCACGCTTCCAGCATCCTTCCAGAGATCTTTAAAACTTATCAAGGACATAACCATGTCTAAACATTTTTCTAATGTATCGGCATCTGAGCCTTGTTCTCTAGACAAGTAAAGGACTCTTAATCTACAGTGGTGAGGAAGTCCATGAGAGACCCATATAAGGCTATTTCAGAAACTTAACTGAGGCACGCTACACAAATCTCAGCTAAATTGAAGTTTCTAAAAACAAAAAGTTCCCCATGCAGTTAAGACATGCTTGAAATATTTCATTTTGGACATCATCTTCTCACCGCTACTGACAGCAACATCATCCCCACCAATGTACTGATCGCACGCATCTCTCAAACCACAACACACATGCAAACTCTTCCAAGTATGGTGTTACTGAAAGCATAATTTCTGAGGCTGCCCACTGTTCTAGAGGCCATCGTACATCTCTAGAAAGTGCCTGGTTTGTATGCCTTAAATAAAAACATTTTTAACTCTGACATCTTGCACTATCATATGCCACTGCCCCGCTGCAAAGACAACGCCACAGGTTTGTATTTTATAAATGTAACTATTTGTTGCTATTTTATTACTGAGGTAGGTTCTGAATGAATTAACAATTAATTGTGTGTACAATCCAGTCCAAAAAATGTCTGGAGATAAAGGTGTACATGGAAAATGGGCAGAAGGCATTTCAGAAGGAAGTTTCACACTGTTAGAGCAGTGATCCTGCTATATTCCTGTATTCCTGGGAGGACTGAGAGGGAATCAGTGCAATGTGTGAAAGGTGGCTTTAGGATTTCATAGGTAGACAACTGAATAAGCATCCATGTTATTTCTGAAGGGGTTTTGCAATGGCATCCAAAAGATTCTGAAATTCATACATACAAGTATGAACACTCGAAACCCAGTGCACTAAAGGTTATTCCTTTCAGCCTCCAACTGAGATTTTCACAACTTCTCTTTCCAAAAGCCTGCGACAGATGTGAACTACATGCACTGATTCTCAGAAATCAACAATCACTCAGAGGAAACCACGTGAATAATGGCTCCTGCCTAAAGGTGGAAGTTGGGAGATTTAACACAGGAAAACCACAAGGATTCACTGTAAAATCTGGATGCAATATTTTCATTTCACTGGCTAGTTCCTATTTGCATACACTGCATATCCTTCTGGATGAAAAAAAAAAAAAAACACAACACAAAAGGTGCATTAAAAGTACTGATGACAGCTCAGTTCAGCAAACAGCACTATGCAGCAGGAACTCTCCATGTTTCTCTCACACATTCATGCTCTCAGGAAAGTGAAGATGGCAAATAACCAACCTCAACATGTTGCCTGTGCCCAGGAAAGCTGCACTGTTCTTCTTAGACTGTCCCAAACGGTGCTACATCAAAGTAATCCAGGGTAACTGCACATACTCATGACAGTTTTCAGTGAGCTTTCCTGATGGACAGGATCACGATCACACAGAACCAAGGCTTGAGACAAATGCAAGCTGTGTCAAAAATGAAGCTTTACATATTTTATATATATATACATATATATATATATATATATATATAAAATTTTTAAGTGCTTATCTGCATCGTCCATACATCACACAGGGATTCCTTTAAGACAAAAAATACAGCACCCAGCAGACAGAATGTTCAGCTGCAGCCTTTGCCTTAGAAGCTACCATCTAAGCTGAATTTGCAGCCTGCTCTCCAGTCAGGATAGCACCTCTGTGCCTCTCTATCAGTCACCACTATTTACAACAAAAAAATCTTACTTGCTTGTACATGCTATGAACTGATCATCAGTTGGTTACAATGAAAAGTTAACAAGGAACAGAAACAACAGTTTGTCTAGATCATTCTTCTATTTCTTTTATCTTCTTCTATGACGAAGAGCAATCAGGGAAAAAGAAGGTATAGGTAAATAAAGAACACCGACTGATGTAGGTTTTGAAGCTACTGTACATTTAAGTAGAATGCAGAAGAACCTCCAATGTTCATGCCTGAGAAGAGATCTCAGGCTGTCTGAACATGGCATGAGCTCAGCTCAAAAGTGAGGATCCACTCAAGCTGTCTGGAGAGGCAGCTGCAGCCATGTGAGGTAGAGGACATGAGGAAACAACTTCTGAAGGTCTCTGACTTTCAGAAACATCCCAAATTACTGCAACTGCTTCAGCAGCTCTGTTTCCAGCTGTCCAACGCTACCTGCTGAATGATTTGGTCAGCTCATGCCAAACCACACACCCAAACACATCATTACCTTACAGGGACTGGAAAACCCCAAGCCCTACATCCCCCCTCCACCCCTCTGCCTGCAGTCCTCTCCACTCTCCAGCCACAGAAACAAAACATTGATTTGTAAGGTAAGTGGTGCCATCAGCTCCACCTCAGCAACCAAGCAGCTTCTTATGATGTTCTCCCACAAAACTATGTACTTCTGAGAAATAAAGCCAAATCCACCTTTATCTTAGCCGGAACGTCTATAAATATTACAGAAACCTAGTCACATGTGGTCAGTTAACTGATGCTCCCACTTACAAGAACAACTGAATGGTAATTGGAAGACAAGCACTTTAATATTACATAAAGAAGACTAAGTACACGGTGTTCAGTATGCAATTATCCTCTGGAAAAAAAAAACAAACCACGCCGCAGAAGGAATGCTTAATATTTCACTACCCAACTAATGCAGTCTGTACAAAAGTTGAAAGCTATAAAAAGCTGTTTTCCATGGCCAATTGTTTTTCCTCTCTTCTGCCACTCACTCTCTCATCCTCAAGCCATCCACTACAAAACTGCTAGATAGATAAGAAAAGCTTCTTATCCATTTCAATTTACCTCAAGCAGGAAGGGAAACCTAGGCATCTCTGCCTCATATGCTGTTCAGGAGCAACTGTACTAGTGGACACAGAACAGTGTCATACTGATGGAAGGCTACACAACCCTCTAAGTAAGGCCTACCATTAAAAAAAAAAAAAGAAAAAGAAAAAGAAAAAGAAAAAGAAAAAGAAAAAGAAAAAGAAAAAAAAAAAAGGAAGGAATTGCAAGTTTCAGACAGACTACAGAATATACAATAGCTTTGTTCACTCTGAAGAAACAGATGTCTTTGCTATGGCCATCACAAATATGCAAAACACCTACAGCCAAATTGCTAAGAGCATTTTGTGAACATATACATAACCCCCACAGGAGAACATACTTCTCCAGCCACGGAATTAAAGGAGGAGTTTTACTGCTTCCTATACTTTTCTGCCAGATGCTCAGCATAAGGAGGTGTGTGGGGGGGAGGGAAGTTGGCACATTTTCTTTTTTCTGCATACTCTTCTTTTTGAAACCTCCTCCTGGCATTGCTTTTTTGTTGTTGTTGTTGTTTTTAGTGGACTGACAGAATAGTCCCCAGACTGCTGGTGTTAATCAAGTCTCAAAGTTTTCAAAAGGAAAGGACATCTTTGCAAATAATGTTTTTCTCACCCTGCTGATTCCTCTAAAACTTGGTGTACTGGTCAGCTATAACAAATCTGAAGTCAGTAATCATGTACAAGGCCACTTGATGGTATGCCATTTCCACGTGTATACTGTATATGGGATGAAGACACAACATTCTGATCCTATGGCTCTTTAAACCACTTCCCTTAAAAATGGTATTCAGGAGAAACTGAAGCATTCTATTCTTTTTGTTTCTGCTTTCAACTGGTCTGCTTTAGGGTGGATTAAGTAAGCTAATCAGCAATTTACATAGTATTTGTTGTGGCTTCTGCACAACTTAAGATCAGCATAAACCTTTGTTATTATTTCCAAAGAAGGATTTATCCCAAATAACTGCACTGAAGAAACCAGCAAGACTAGTGATACACTGTGCTCTGGAAAGCATTCTTAAGGAGAAGGTAAACAATTTATCTGCATACTTGAAGCTAGAAACAATCTGTAAGTAAAAAATCACTGGGTAGTTCTTTCAAGGGTATCTTAAGCAGCCCTAATAAGCTGCTTAATGGCCAAAGTAAGGGAAATACCACCAGTAGCCTCAACCAAAATGGAACACTGGCAGATAAAATGTTACAGGCATCAATCCAGCAACAGCAGTGCAGTTTTAACAAGCCTTTCCTTCATCATTTGTAGCAGTCTGCTCCATGAAGTGATAAGGGACTCAAGACAATGCTTTAGAGGTATTAAAACTTAAAACGTCAAGTTACTTATGCATGCAGTTCAAACAACCTTCATTTTCTACAAACAGGTACGTTGATAAAAATATGATTGTCTGTCAAAGGAAGAAAATACTCAAGGGCTGTAAGCATGTAACAGATATTACTGTTAGAAACATTTCTAATATCCTAAGATGTACATCTTGTTTAATTGCTTCCACATGCTGAGCTGTCATTGTGCAACTGCAGGCATATTAAACCCAGGATTATAAAAGAAGCACGCCCACCTCTTCCAGAGTGTCAGATTAAGGAAGAATACAAAAACGTCGAGAACAAAAATAAGGACAGAAGGTACACCCTATGGAACATATTGTTTCCCCCAGTACGCATGGACAAGTATCTCCTGAAGTCCTCCTACTCTTGGCTATCTGTTTGACAACACATGTACCAGCATAACACATTACCACGGTCAATTGCATTTAGAATGCGGACAGTTAAAGGTTAAGATAAGACTACCTATCTGCTGCCATCCCACCCTGGCCACTCATACAATTTGTGTACAGAGAGATGCAAGTTCTGCTTCTCGCACTACCAGTAACACAGAAACAGCATTCTGTAGAACCTTATCAAAACCAAGGACAGAAGCCTACTGCAGATATGAAAAGGGACTTATTTCTTAAGTGTCCTTCAAAAAAGACTCTGGAGCAGATTTCAAGAGACCTATGTCCCTTTTACTCCTTTACATAGATGAGATAGCCTAATGCCTTGCTTTTATACCCCTTAAGAACTCGTTTACAGTACAGACTGTTCTTAGAAAATGAAAAGATAAAAGATGCATTTGAATTTTAATAATGCATCAGTCCAAATTTTCACCTCCTGCATATGCAAAAATTTGCTTTGCTGACATAAACATTGATGTCAGCATCTCAGAATCCAGAAAAAATACAACAGCATTAATTAATATTTCTTCACAGACATCTCTGTGGACAATGTGCTTCCTCCAACCTTAGTAAGACAGAGAAAACTCTTCAGTGCTGTCTTGATATTGTGTACAAGTCAGATCAAGACATGTCAGGCCCTAAGAGCCACACTAACACAGCTAAAACAAAGGTCTTTTCATTCCAGAAAGGGACGAAGGGAGGTGGTAGTTTCAAGCGTATGTTCAGGTCTTTTCATTTACTGACGAATAAGTACCTGCAAAAGTTCAGAGCATTTTCACACCCCTGGCTCTTGCAGGAAATCTAATAGTGTCTCAGTGAGACTCATACTATCTCTTCACTTTCTTTCTATAGGCACATCTGCTATTCACCTTTAGCAGAAAGAATTATGTACTTTCTTACAGTAAAGAAATGGCAAATGCTATCAGTATATGCATTCCTCCCATAGTCACCCAAAGCAGTTTGGTGCAGAGCCATCTTAAGTCTTGCCTGTCTGAAAAAAGACATACGCTCTTGGCAAGATTTTCAGGCTGCTGCTTCTTTCTAGAGCTAGAGAAATAAGATCTTCTGACAACCACCTGGCAACGTAACTTGTTTTTGCTATTGCCTCTCAATTCTCCGCAGTTACCATTCTTGTCTCTGCTATCAATCCTCAAGATCTTAGTAAATCGTATCTTGCATCACTGTGCCAGTGATTTTTGTTCTCTACATTTATGGCTATACAACTAGGAGAACTCAAGCAAAGCAAGACTCAGCCTTTTCTTGCTCCTTGCCTACAATTTCTGTTTACTGCAGGGGTACAGATGCTGCAATTTGATAACCATTTTGAAGTACTAATTTATTATGCTTAAATTTTTATACTGCAATACCTATGGTTACTTTTTTATTTGGAAAGGGTGAGGAGCTGCAAGGAGACTGAGAAAGAAAATGAGTTCTTTTCATTTTTGTTTGTTGCTAAGAAGCTGTCCCAGCTGAAACAAACTCCTTCACTGCTAAGAGATGAGTAACCCTGCTATTGTGGCCTTCTATTTTTGTACATATACAGTCTTTATGAATAATCCATACCTTATTTGTAGCAGTAGCACTGGATCCTGGGACCACAGGCACATTCGTCACTTGCACTGTTAAGTAGTTATTGTCTATGAGAGGCCAAGCACCTTCCACTTTGCACGTCTGGAAGTGATCCTTGAAAGTCCTCAGATGAGGATCACCAAACAAGCCACAAAATAGGTAAGTAGGGATAGTTTTCTCCCCTCCTTGATATTCATTGGCCTCTGTGTGGCCACTGTAATTGCAGGGATCATGGGTCACTTCGGGGTTGGTGGAGGATGTGGGGCCATCCTTGGAACAGTTCCTCTGGCTCATGAGGTCGCTGATCCCCAGCACTGCAGAATGGTAGACTAGGTTTCCACGGCATACTTTGGAGTTGCGATAGGTGCAGGCAGAGTATGCTCGCAGGGCCTTGCAGAACTCCAAGTCAAAGCCATCAAGAGCCGAGTTTAGATGTGAAGTTAAGGAAACAAAATCAGTGGTGCACTTTTGGATTCGACAAGGTGCTTGCAGCTGGCAGTCACCTAGGCACAAAACAGAAGGCAGAGCAGAATTAAAATCTTGCACCCTGTTCCACCCCCACAGGTACTGCACAAAGCAACTTGCAGGCAACCCACAGCACTCACTGATAAAACACTGCAATAAAGAAAAAGGGGTTAAGTGAAGCTGAAAGATAGCAACACAGAACATATAAAAGCTGAGATGACCCAAGCATTTCATTTTCAGCTTAGACAACAGCAAATAATGGATTAAAAACATTAACTCAGCCAAGGATGAGCCCAGCATTTCTTTACAGATGATATGAAAGCTATGATGCAATTCTGTGCTTAAGTTAACCATTCTGTCAATATGCAGGTCTCCACTTAGTCCTTCAGTCCTTAACATAAGTTACTGAACTTCAGACTAGAATCCTGCCCCTGAGAAGGATGTGGCAATGATGGCAAGACATGCAGGTTTAGGCAGAAACAGACAGCAAAGATCAGAAAGCTCACAGCTATCTGAAGCTCAAGCTGCTGACTACAGAGCCCGTGTACGGCGAGAGTAGCACCATTTACAGTAGATTTCAATAAAGAGGGGGAAAAAAAGCCTCTCCCCACTGAAATCTTAAGTCCTTATCAAGAGTACATAGCAGGAACACAGTTCAGCTTATGTGAACAAAACAAATGCACCTTATCTGATCACCTTGCTTCCACAAAGAACACAATTACCACACTGGAAAGCAAACCTGAGGTTTCACAGCCCGCATCCGCAGCTCTTATTGTCACCACTCCAAACCCTTCCCAATCCTTACAGCAGTTAACATCAGCCTTCTGTATGTAATTTCTACGCAGTTCATGAAGGACAGAAAAGAGACAAAGGAGGCTGCACACGGCAACAGGGGAAACAATACGTGTATGCCAGAAAGGATGAAACCAGGACACCAGTCAGCAGGAAGGCAGGTTCCCCTCCACCCAGAGAGACACGGCAGTAAGCAGGGTTTCACACAGAATACGTGTTGGACTTCGTGCCATTAATGTCCAAGCTCTCAGAGCTAACCGCTAAAATCATGCTGTGTGTTTTTGTTCTTCTATGACCTGTGAAATCCAGCTGAGCACACATCCTTTTGAAATCACAAACAGTCATAACACAGACTTAAAACAACAAAGTACCCTGCTATGCAGAGGTGCGCAGAGTGAGAAAACACAGCATGCTTGATACCGCTCTCCCTCCCTCAAATCACCTCAGCACCATTTCTCGGTGCCTGTCCTCACGGTAAAGAGGCCCGGGTTCGTCCGCCTTAAGCAGCCAGCTAGAGCGTTTAGGAACCCTTGAGACACGAGGAGTGAGAACACGGCAGCCGAACAACGTAAGGCCCTGCATCTCTAAACGCAGCCCCTTCCTGCAACTGCACGAATACGAGCGGACAGCAGCCGCCGCGCAGCGCGACGCTCCGCCAGCACCTCGGGGCGGCACACCGCCGCCAGCCCCGCGCCCCGCACACCTGCGCGGGCAGCCGCGCCGAGCACCGCCCCGGACCCGGGGGCGCGGAGCTGCTTCGGAGAGCTGCGCAGCGGAGGCCTCGGGGCAGCCCCAGCTCTCGCACGGCTCCGCACCGCGGCGCGCGCCCGCCGCTCCCCGCCCGCGGGCCTCGCGCGCAGCCGCGGTACCTGCGCGCAGGAGCAGCCCCAGGGCGGCCAGCAGGCCGAGGGCGGCGAGCGGCGGCTCAGCCCCGGCGGCGCGGGAAGGCGCGGCTCTCCCCATGCCCGTCCATGCAGGTCCGCGGGACGGGGCGGCGGCATGAGGGGGCGGGCAGGCGGCGACCCCCTCCTTCTCCTCCTCCTCGCCGCTTCCTCTCTCAGCGGCGCAGCGGGGGGCGAAAGCCGCCGGACCGCAGCGGGACGGGCGCGGGGCAGCGCAGCATGGCGGCCAGGCGAGCTCAGCACAAAGACGCGGAGCGGCCGGCGACGGCGGCCCGCACCCCGAGCTGCCGCAGGCCCCGCGCCGCGCCGTGCCACCGAGCTCTCCTGCGCCCGCCCCCCCGCGCCCAACCCGCCGCCTCCCGTTGGCTGCCCGCCCCGTCCCGCAAGCAGCGCGACGTGCTGCGGCCACGCCCCCGCCGCCGCCTCGGGCTCCTCGCGCCCCGTCCCACGTGACGCGCCCACGCTCGGCCGACGGAGGCGGCGTCCGCATTGCCACGCGCCGCCGTCAAGGGGCGCCTGCGGGCTGTCGGGGCGCGGCTGCGCGCGGTGCGGTGCCGTGCGGAGCGGAGCGGGGCCGGCAGCCCGCTTAGAGCCGGGGTCCGTCTGCGCTGTCTCCTTGGTGGGGTGTCTCCGTGCGAGCCCGTGGGCTTGTGTTTACATTGGGTGCGCAGAGCTGCTGTCTCCGCAGCACCGACAGATCAATACGCAACGTCTGTCTGGAAATGGAAACTAGTGTGGAGGCGGCGTATGGCTGTTGGGCGCAGGGCAGACGGGGGAAAGTTTCCAAACTTGGCCTTGTGGTCAGGAAACCTTGACTGGGAGGCTGGAAAGGCCACATGTTTAACCCGCACCCTTGTGGAGCCCACAATGCCTGAATCTTGCATCTCGTTGGCCCTGGGAGCAGGCTCCTGCGGATGGATGCTTCACGCAGCTCAGCTCATAGCCCACAGAAACCTGGGATTTGTGTTTACCCAAGCACTTTGGACCTTGAAAATCTTCTGCTATAGTTGGGAATATTACAGCTTTGATCAGAAATCCTCAAGGCAAGATTCACATGTGTTTCTTCCTTCTGTAAGCATAAAAGAGGTTGGATGCATAAAGTAGTAAGTGAGAGTTAGAAGTGATCCCAGAAAGCTGGCCCTAGTGATTGTTTTCTAATGCGATTTAAGCCCTTTGCCGTTCTTCTCCTTTGTTAAGTGCCAACACAATAAACATAACTTAGCAAAACAAGGCTTTTTTTCTTTCTGAAAACATTAGTCAATATGTCCCAGAAGTCAGCTAGTCCAGTGCTGAAGAAATGCAATAGTTAAATAAATGCTTTGAATGAGGTCAAACAAATCTTTCCTCTGTTATCAAGGCAAGGGGCCTGGTAGAGAAAACGTGTCCTTGCCTCTGACAGGTGTCAGATTCCCAAGATGTTTGACACCTTTGAGTCCAACAGAGATGGTGAAGGGTCTGAAGGGCAAGATGTGTGAGGAGCAGCTGCAGACCCTCGGTGTGCACAGCACAGAGCAGAGGAGCTGAGAGCAGCCCTCATGGCAGCTGCAGCTCCTCACAGGAGCGGAGGGCAGCACTGAGCTCTGCTCTGTGTGACAGCGACAGGGCCCGAGGAACGGCATGGAGCTGCGTCAGGGGAGGGCAGCTGGGGGTCAGGGAAAGGGGCTGCAGCACAGGGCGGTGGGCATGGAACGGACTGCACAGGGCAGTGGGCTCAGCTCCCTGCTGGAGTTCAGGGAGCATCTGGACACCACTCAGACAAAGTATTGTATCTCGGGTGGTGCTGTGTGGAGCCAGGAGTTGGTCTCAGGAATCCTTATGGGTTCCTTTCAACTCTGGGTAATCTATGATTCTGTGATTTCCAGGGCAGTTTTTTTCAAGCACTGTAATCAAAACAAGTATGGAGAAAAAACAAATAGCGAGGAGCAGACAGCTGTTGTGTTTCATTGCCTCCCAGAGATTGTATTGCTTACCTAGCAGTCTCACATATCTGCACTTTCACAGCAATGCTCATTATAAGCAGGCTGTATACATCTGACCATCGCTGCTGACAGTAGAAGTGATGCTTCGCATCTGTATCACAGATATTTAAAGTGCTTTCCAAGGAAGGAAGAGACATTTGAAACATTGCCACAAGATATGGCCCCTGCCCATTTTGTTTGCACAGAAGTTCTGTCATGCCAACATGTGAAAGATGAAAGCTGTGCCCGGTTTTGAGATACAGAGCTGGAGGAGGAAGGTGAAAGGGAGGGAGAGGTCAAATACTAGAAGGAGAACAAATGAACAATCGGAGATTCTGTTAAGACTGTTGGAAGCTCAAACTTCTCTGATTAAACTTTATATTTTGACGTAAAAAGGCCATATGGCATCCTAAAAAATTCAAGTGAAATGAATGAACTAACTAATTCAAGTGAAATGAACTAACTAAATTCTTTTCTGACATTTCTGTGCTGTGACGGAAACATTGCACATACAAAAGTCTGAAGATTCTGTGCAGGAAAGCAAGAACAAAACCCCTGCCCTTTTTTTTCACTCCTTTTTTTTTTTTTTTTTTTTTTGTACTTAGAAAATTATTATAATACATAAACTCTTTTTATGTATGCAAGGAATGTCTAAGAGAAAGGATCTTTGCCAGTAACACATGCTTCTGTTTCACACAGCCTCATTCCTTTCAACATACTGTCCCTAAACAAGCATGACCTGTAGGGACAGCAAGAATGAAACCTTGGCATCCTGTGACACACATGGTGTCTGCAAAGGGGATAGAAAAGGGAAGCAGGGCACACCTCTAAATACTACTAGTAGATTTTAGTACAGTTCCATCTGAATACATTCCTAAGTGCTACTTGTTAAGAAAGGAAGAAATGACAGGAAATGCAAAAGAAAGGCTGACGTAGTGTAGGCAGAGCTGGAAGGTATTCATCCTTCAATGCCATTTCACTAGTACTGCTGTTGTCCTTAATAACATCACTGTTTAATCCACATTATTCTTTGTGGAAATCCCGTTGCTCCATGGCTGTAGTGGTACCTGCTGAGGATGCAGTGATTTTCAAATTAAGGACACCGTTATTATGCAGAGCTAGGCAAAGCACATTTTACCTTGAACAGCTTAATTTCCTCCTTCGTTACACTGACATACTTGTGTTAGATTTACTCCCAGTCCTCTCTGGTAATAAATAATAGGAGAAATATTAAAGGAAGGCTTAAAAATGAGGAGTTTCTGTATAGTAGATAATGGTCTCTAAAATGATCTAGCTGTGCATCTTGCAGCTTCTGCATGTGAACCCAGGCTGTTTATTGGTCTGAGTCTTTGGAGACCAAACTTGAACCTGGAGGGCAAGAGCTGGTGGCAGGTGAACTAGCTTGACAGCTAGATCAGCCACCTTCTGTGGCAGACAAACTCAAGATGATTGATCCAGATGAGGGCAGTTAATTATTCGCAATAAAGTGACAGGCCACACCAGGGCTGCTATCTTCAGAGACATATCTTGAGTGTAGCTCTGCTTGCAGATGTGGCAGACATGTCTATAAAGCTGATCAAAGTCTTGTTGCTGCCATGGAATCCAGGGCTGATGCTAACATCTGAAAACAGGCTAAATGGAGACAATCAGGGCATATTTGAATATCAACTACAGTTGGATAAGAAAAAAAAACCTTTTTGAGTGCATCTTGTTCCATAGTTTATTTTTTGAGACTTTCATACAATGTTCTGGTGTGAGAAGAAGTGTGGATGAAGCCAAAGAGCAGCAAAATTCTGATGTACCAAAAGATGGCCTCCAACCAATTAGTACCAACCCTTGGTGGCTGTTGGAGAGAACGGTGGCAGAAGACTGACACCTGCAGGGTAAAGCTGGACTGCTAAAGGAGAAACGCCAACCTTCAGCAAGCTTGAAAGAAATCTAGAATACCAGCCACATTTGAATGGGATCTGGATGATTTGCTCTTCAGAAGATCATATTGAGAAGAATTTTGGTTTCTTGCTATTACATGTTAGGGTCCTGCAACATCCAAGGATTGTAATGTTCTTCCATAAAAGTCTGGGCATGATGAAGATGCTTGACAGTTGCTTAATTTATATGCAGGCTTGCAGCTACTTCAGACAGGAATATGGGTTGTGACACAAGATTTATTATAACTGGGTAGAATGTGACACACAATAGTACTTTCATGGGAGAGTGTAGATGTCTGTCATTTTGAGTATTTGTTTTGTTACTAGATGGCTGACAGTTTTTATGAAAGCAGAAGAGGTTTTACAGTTTGTGCAGGGTTTGAATGGGGACCCACTAATATACTCAGTCATGTTTTGCAATGCTTGTTCTTGCAGTGGGGGAAGAAATAAAAGGAAAACATTTTTTTGCATTTAGTTGACAGTGGATGAGAAAAGACTGAACGACTTCCAGTGGGGTGTCTAAATGTAGAGAAAGATAACCAAATGAAAACTGGCAGAAAAAAATTAGACAAGAGATTTTTAAGGAATCAGAAAGCCAAGATAATAGATATCTCAGACATCAATATAGAAATAGTGCCCAAACTTTAAATTGCTTTGTATCACTGGCATGTAGATACTTAGGTTTTTCAAGTCAAATTCCTTCCAGAATGGAAGACAATGACTGAGAAACTATTTCTGGAGGGGTGACATAAGAAGTATAAAGGAAACAAGGTAAAAGTTACAAATTTTTTTTTTTTTTTTTTTTTTTTTTTTTTGTGGGGATACTGGGTCTGGTATCAAAGGAGCAGATCTTGGAATATGAAAATCTGAGAGCATCTGCTCCTATGTTGAT